GAGAGAGAGAGAGAGAGAGAGAGAGAGAGAGAGAGAGAGAGAGAGAGAGAGAGATAGAGAAAGCAAGCGAGAGAGACACAGTCGGATGGCATCCATAGCTCTAAATATGTCAAGCATTCTTTGTAGTGTTTACTAGGAACAGACAGAGACAACCTTTCTATGCATTGCAGGGCAAAACCAATAACAAAATATGTGAGGGAAGGATGATTTTACCTTGATCATCATCAGGACATATTCCCTTTAAAGTCTTTTCAGCGTCACCAGATGGCGTCACCTCTGTTATGAGATGCCCAGATTCCTCCTTCTCGTCATCTAGTGACCTCTCTGGGCTAGCGGATGTACTACTAGCACCTACCACAACAGAGCATACCAAAAACATTCATATCCTGCCTAAGTAAATTACAATCGAAATTCAGATTCATGATTCAAAAAAGATGTTACAACAGTTTTACCTATCACACTTTATGCAACTTGCCTGTTGTATCAGATGGGAAAGTATCCATACCAATATACCACACCTATTGCCTCAGACCCAATATATCACAAACTACTGTGTCAGATCCAATATTTCACACCTATATGTTATATCTGACCCAACATGTCACACTTATTGTCTCAGACCCAATATGTCACACGCATTGATTCAACGCTTTGGCACTTATTTTACAGCCACTCAGCACACGATGTTTAGCCCCACAGCAGCAGCGACAGCAGCAGGGCCACCCTCAAAAAATTGTTTGTTTCCCCTTTACCTACTCGCCTCTCAGGGTACCGAGTAAGTAGGTAGGTAAAAAATCTTTTTTATTTTGTTTTGACAAGATGTGTGTAAATGTATATTGTATATTCTGTTTTGTGTATATGTTTTTGCGGAACTATATTTTTTTCTTTTTTCGAAATGAAATAATTTTTGTTTTGTTTTAATCGGCCAATAAAATGTTTCGAGTAGCGGCGTTTTGGCGAGTCGGTCTGTAAAGGGGAAACAAGCAATATTTTATCTTAGTGGCCCAGTGGCCCAGTGTGTCCCGTCAAAGCTACCGACTACACGACTGTGGAGCTAGCAGCGGCGTCGACGTGCGCACGCTCCACTCACCCGTGGCGCAGCTCACGAAGGTGATCTTGATCGAGGTGTCCTCCTTCTCCTCGCTTTCGCGGTCCTGCTTCTCCTTCTCTGCGGGCCTCACATCCTCCGATGTGCTCTCGTGTGGAAGCTCCACATCGTCCACCAGGTAGTCGCTCTCCGTCGCACCTGCACGCCGGCGCACACGAGTTACTAACACACGCGCACGCAAGTTACTAACACACGCGCACGCGAGTTACTAACACACGCGCACGCAAGTTACTAACACACACACACACACAGTGCGCGAGCGGGTCACTAACACGCATGCAAGTCACTAACACGCGAGATTAGACTTTTGATAGTCATAGTCATGGATGGGCAGGTCATGGAGGGGTGGGGCGCGTACCTGGCACGCTGGCTATGCACAGCAGGACGGCGGGGCGTGGCGGGGCGTAGCATGGAGGGGGAGGCGCGCGTACCTGGCACGCTCGCTATGCACAGCAGGACGGCGGGGCGTGGCGGGGCGTGGCATGGAGGGGCGGGGCGCATACCTGGCACGCTGGCGATGCACAGCAGGACGGCGGGGCCTGGCGGGGCGTGGCAGGGCATGGAGGGGCGGGGCGCGTACCTGGCACGCTGGCGGGGCACGGCGGGGCATGGCAGGGCGTGGCATGGAGGGGCGGGGCATGGAGGGGTGGGGCGCGTACCTGGCACGCTGGCTATGCACAGCAGGATGGCCGAGCACACGCGGAAGGCATCGAGGATGTCTGCGGGGTTGTTGGCGTCGATGACGGCCGCCTTGCTGCCTTGCGACGTCGACGTGCAGATCCAGACGAGCGAGGAGCTCGAGTGCTGCTCAGCCTCCTTCTCCCTCATCGTGTGTTCGTGCTCCTGCATGAGGGAGAGAGGAAGCGCGATTACTGCACCTGCATACGTACCCCCTCAAGCGATCCCTTAAAGCTGCATTCCAATGCATGCAAGTCCTAACGCCTCCAAATCATGCAAGTTATCAAGAGCTAATAATACCTCTTATTATTACCTACCTATTATTTATTAGATTATTAGCTCTTGAAGTTATCCAAGTTGTTGAGATACATGGTGTCATGTATGCAGCAGCTGTCTGCTAATTGATTCCTCAAGTTAAAATTATCCCGTTACCGTATATTTTTGAATCATCAAAAACTGCAACGAGTATTAACACAATATGGTTTTATCTGGAATGCATACGAAAGCGTTGGCATGGATCAACACATCCAAAATTCTAAATCCTGCACAGTTGGTCTACTTGTTTATGTACAGGCTTGGTGCTAGGAAACACCCGGCCAACCCAAGCTGTGTGTTTTCACAAGATCTATCAGCATTTACTGTTAACCGCGCATTGTCCAAGGCCACACACAGCTATTTCGAGTGCGCCGTGAATGTAACAATTTGTTCGAATGTGTGCCGAATGACGTTACAGCAAACTACATTAGATGTCACTTGGACTTTTATTGTAGTATCTGCTTGTTATTTTAAAATGTGATCAAATACGACATGATTTAGCTGATGACTGAACTTAAAGCACAGTTGAATCTGTCATACAAGGTAATTATAATCACAAAAATACCATTTGTGTTGAATTGGAGCAGGTTTAAAGGTAGGATGCAATTACAATATTCTGCTTATCTCCCGAGCGATTTCCTAGGATGCCATTACAAGACGGTATTTTTTCCCAGAGATGCCTTCAGGTGCTATTACGATACAGGAATTTTCTTCGGATGCAAGTACAAGACTGGCAATTTCCCAGAAGCGATCCGGGGGTTGCTATTTTGCTAATACAGTTGAAAAGCTGCTATCTCATCTATTCATGTCAATATGCTAAATAGGTATTATTGTGTGTTACAAAGTATCAACTCTGATAGTCACACTGTTTACATATGTTCAGTGGGAACCAACGATAGATAATAATTAAATCCAAGCTCCGACGAAAGCTCGAGAATTTTTCTGACCCACAGTCCAATAACCGACATTCAAATAGGCGTACGCAGCAAATCAAACAGATACGATCATATCTGGGCATAACGAACAAACATCGACCCTCGAGACCCGAATATAAGTTTGAAAAGCACATAAGCTTACGCTGCAGCTACGACGATCAATTCGCTAGCGTGAATTCCAACGCGGTCACCGCTAGAGTGACAACGAAGGTCACTATTTCATTGACGCGCGGGCGCAAAGTGCATAGATATATATATATATAGATAGATAGATATATGCAAACAGTTGCAGTGACTTTGTTGATTGCCTGATTGTGACATTCTCAATGCGGAACCGTCTACTTTAGCTAATCTCTTTACATTTAGGCCTGCCTAAAGCTCTGACCGACATCGGTGAATTGAAAGGACCTGTTTTAAAGAAACGTTGTGTGTTAGAAGAGAAAGTCCACGGTGCCTCCACATCAGGGACGTTGGTGAGAGAAGAGGGAGGGGGGGAGGTGGATTGGCAGGCCAGACTTTGACAATACACCCATAGTGCTCCATAGTACTAATGCCACGTAAACCGTCTCCTACGCGTGTACGTTTTTAGTATTGTCGCCAGAAGCGTTATATATTGCAGAAAGCGGGAAAAAGTTATGAAAAGAAAAACGCAATAAGGAAGGTAGTTACCATAGCCGAAATAAATGGCAGTGCAAGCAGACAAATGCGGAAAAGAAATGAAAGGAAAAGTGAAGCCAATATTAGCCCTGAAATCATTCAAGGCACTGCATTAAATAAGCACTGCTGCCTCCATCCACAATCCCTGCCCACACAATCCATAAAGCAACCCTTTGCTTCTCGTCTTCGCTTTCCACTCCAAACCAAAACTTTGCATCCTTATCAACATTATAACGCAACTCGGCGTTTGGATGCGCGGGCCTTTTCGAGCGACCAAAAGCCTGCAGACGCTGCCAGCTTACAAGCGGCGCAATCGGGAGACACGAGCAAGGATTGTCGATGGAATTTGTTAATAGAAAGCGGGCTGTCGTGTCTATTTACCTGTGTACCATGCATGGGGAAATCTCCGCCTTCATACTCGCATAACATTAGCTGGTGTGTGCAGGCAGGCAATGAGAAGGGCAATGAGAGGAGATTGAGCGCGGGCGGACGTGTATGCTAGGCATTCAATGTACGAAAGCACTACTTCTGTGAGTCCATCGACCGCTGCCCGTCCACCCCCAACTGCCCACTCACTCATTGTCCACCCACCCACCCACCGATCGCTTATTCAGCTACTTCCCATGCATTGGACAGCCTTTTGTTGCAGTGTTGACTCCTTATACGCTAGCTATGATTAAAACGTATTCATGCCAAACAAGTTCTCACAAAGAATCTACGAGTAAAAAATGCGATTTTTCATTGCACTCCCTCTAGTTTTGATTTCGATTGTTACTTAGATTATAACGAGGCGCATAGAAAAAGGTTTCGCCTCTGAAAGACCTAACATCTTCCCACACAATGAGGAACAGATTCGACAAGTGAACGACACGATTCCTACAAGTTGACGTGACAAAAAAAAAGTTACTGACCAATAAAAATGACTACATTAAATCCGCAATAATTAGAAATAGCTACCTGAAGATTTGGACCATTAGAAACAGCAACCGGAACACTGAGACAATAGAGAAATAGCTACCTCACTCACGACACCTGAACGACCCCCCCCCATGAATTAGATTACAGGTATTTACATGGCCATATATACAAATCACTGTGCGCCCAGCGCACTCTGCCTCAGTTAGAGAACATTTACACCTCCCCCTCCCCCCAACACAGACCATTTCTACATGCAGCATTGCGCGTGCGATCACACGATGAACGGATTTGATTTTCGCACTTTGTTCGTGGCGCCCGTCGGCGTCGACACGACCTTCGGTATGCGCGACCTTGACACGGGGGCGGGCCGCAGCCCCTGCTGCGCGCGCGTCGCCGCCGCGAGCCTCGTCAGGCAGCTGTACCAGGCGGGCTGGGCGACGGTGCAGTGTGACGTGGAGGAGATGGCGGGAAGCGGCGGGCGGCAGCGCGCAGCGGCCGAACACCTCTTCGCGCGCGAGCTGCTGCCGGACGCGGAGCTCGCTTACGACGTCGTGACGTTCCGTCCTCACGACGCGTAGACTCGGCTGATCGAGCGACAAACTTCTACGGGATTTCTTTCGTCAAACGGCTTCAAATTTGTTAGCGACTCAGTCGAGAAGTACATAAGCGTGTGCACTCTAACACACACCGAATTCACAACTGATGCATGACCACAACCTGACTAAGATAACGACCACAAGCCAGAATGGCAGTGCAGTCTTAGCATTCAGCAATAGAGATAAAGTGTGGCAAGTTAACTCGCAGTGCTACCAGTGGACTAACCCCCTACTGTAGCGTTTACTGTGAAAGCAGCTGCGGGGCCTCAGGGTTACTGAAACGGAGATAGGCACCGCCCTATGCGCCACATAGGCGCTGGAAGGATTTAACTAACTAACTTAACAGAATGGCAGATGTACGTATAGTAGGAATGGCGGAGGATCAAAGGATTTCAGAGGACGGCAGCAAAGTTGTCCAATTCGTGCAGACTGAGCATATGGATCAAAACTTGAGACTAGACAGAAATTGTGTTTCGACTCTTGTTGCTATTGTATTTCCAAATTTCACTGGAAATTCCTAAACTGTAAACTCATAATAAACACCGTACATGAAGTTTTTTAAACTGAATGCTTTTCATAAATAACATGCATATCTTTAGAGTGTTTAAGGATACTCTCAACCTTTTGCACCGGTATTACTCTATATAAAGATTAAACGTTTATTGACGAATGAATCGAATCAATCACTTGTTTTATTTATAGAGGAGATATATCTCTACGCTCAAGGCAAAAAATTTCATGAAATTTCCAGCTAATTATGTTACCACAAAAATTTTTTATGTAAAAATTGTATTTTGGATATTTCTCAATTACCAGAAAGACTGAGGATACAAAATCATGTGGTGTTAAGCACAATATGTACCAAAATAGCGCATCAGGATTTTTCTTTAAGTTTCATATTTACCGAGAAAAATTAAAAAAACTGCCTAAAATTCAAGTCGCACGTTTGAATTTAAAATTTTTGCGAATAACGAGACATAACTCATAAAATACGGCACTTAATAACAATCCCTGACGCTTTTTTTTACAGCAATATGTTACCATTAAAACGAGTGTAAAATTAAATTATTCCGTATTGTAATCACAAAGAAATATCCATTTATACATCGACTACTAAGTCAGAAATTGGAACGGAGAAATCAGCGTTTTTCTGACGTCAGCCGCGGCTCACTACACTTACTCACGCGGGCAAGCAAAACGCTCTGACAGTTCACATGTGCCGTTATATGGAGAAATG